CGGGGCGTTGCAGGTGCCCTGGGGCATGGTAGCAGGTTCGTAGTTTCCGAACGGGGTGGCGATGGCGAAGGACTTGCGATGTTCGGGGCGGACAAGGGTTTGGTCGTAACAGGAGGTGAGGTTGACCTTGCCCCAAAACTTGTCGCTGTTGATCACACGTAGAACGTTGTCACCTTCCGGAATGGTGGTAACGTCCTTGACGGTGTTAACATTGAGGTTGCGATAGTTGATAAGCGAGCATGGAAGGGCGTTGGGGTCTTTCTTGGCTTTCACGAACCATCCGAACGAGTAAAGGCTGTTGCTGGGAGTCCACCGGCCAGAACGCACGTTGTTTTCGACGATTTGACGAGCTGTGGGGTAGAGGTTTGTGGTATGACGTAGTAGCTGGATTTGTGCACCTTGGACGGGTTGAGGAGTTTGCTTTCGTGGTAGACTGTATCCTTGGTCTCAGGGGGAATGGAGTCAGGCAGCACATCAGAAAACATCGACAAATACTGTGAGAACAACATCTTATTGTTTTCAACTACTTCCTTCTGCTCCGCCTAGCTGACTAACCCATTGGTCTCCTGTTCTTCCTCTTCTTTGATGGCACCAACAAACTCATCCAAGTCCCCTGCCCTTCGTACTCTAAGGCCTTCTTCAACTCGTCGACACTGGCAACTACGTTCTTCTTCAGTTGTAAACGACTAAGGGGTAAGGTACGTCCTATACTAGTAGCTTTCCCGTCCCCGGCATTTCCCTTCTTGTCAGCAGGCTTCTGAGTCGGAGTGAGCTCCGTTTTGGTGCGGGCGGTTGCGCCGCGGCTGGATAGGTACTTGAAGATAATAGTCGGGTGCTGGAGGATGGAGTTGCGTCCGATTATCGCGTCGAAGTTGCGGTTGAGGTCGGCAAGCTCGAGTTCGAATTGGCCAAATTTGTCGTAGTTGGTGTGGATGCGTCCATTCAAGTAGGCGGTGGTCTTGAAGGCGCCCTTGGAGGCTTGGGTGTAGGGGCGGGGTTTGTCGAGCTTGTGGTAGCGCACGCGGAACTTCTTGATGAATTCGGACGAAACTGCTTGCGGAGCCGGTGTCGATAAGGACGTTGAGGGGATGCTTCTTCAAGTGGGCGGTGAGGATGAAGTCGAGTTCCGCCGGCCTCGCTTTGGAAACGGCGACGACAAAGGGTTCTTCCGGGAAGGCGCGGGAAATGGCGGATAAAAAGTCGTCATTGCTGTCGTTGGAGTCGGAGTTGAGGTTGCGGTGGATGCGTTCCAAGATGGCTCCGACAACATGGTTGTCGCTATTGTAGTAGACGTTGTCCTTGTCCGAGTCCGAAGCTTCATTGCCGTTAGTGACAGCGGCGGCAGATGAGTCGTCTTCTGCTTCTTCACGTTCGGGGCAGTTGGAAAAGACAGGGGCGGCGTTCTCCTTGCGGCAGTAGAAGCAGCCTCAAGTGGCGATCAGGTCATCCTTCTCCCCTTGGGTTAGGCGAGTGCGAGTGAAGGCAGCGGATTGGGACGATTTCTTGCCGGGGGGAACCCCTGCTGGAGGATTCCTTGATAATACCGCCGCCGCCAACGCTGGGGGTGGTCTTGGTTTTGGTTCCCGTGACTTTGCCCATAATCGAGGTGCGGCTAGTAGTGGTGGTTGTAATCCCGCGAGGCTTCTTGTCGAGATTCATGGCGGCGGCGGTGTTGATGATGGCATCGGATAGTTGGTCGAAGGTGATGTTGGGAGTGGTGACAAGCATGCTTCTTAAGGCTGGCATGATGGTGCCGCTGGTACCCATCTTCAGCTTCAGAATGCCCTCAGCGTCGGACTTGTTGAGGCGCATCTTGAGTTCCGTGACTTCACGAATCCACTCGGAAGGGGAATTGGCTCCACCCTGGGACATGCAAGCCCAACGTTTCTCCTCCTCGAACAACGTGTTGCTAGGCAGGAAGTGAGATTTGAAACGGGCCTTCCACTCATCCCAGGTGACGGGGGCGTAGGCAATACCGGCGGAAGCTGCGGCTGCTTGGGCTTGTTGGCTTTCTCGACGATAGTTATCCCGCCAAATTGATGCGCCGTTATTGATCCGGCCTTCGGCCATGAGGATACTCCTTGTCCCCCAGGACGCGTTGGCGCCATTCACGATTGGCGCAGATCTTGATGGCATCTCGCATGGCGGAAATGATAGGAATGATGTAGTGGAGTCGATGGGTTCCGGTGCGGCCCTATCCGCTGTCGAAGTAGATGTGCTGCATATTCTTGGGGGTGAAGAGGAGTCCGCCGGGAGTTGTCATGTTACCGTCAGCGATTGGGGCAGCCATGCCCAAAGGGAAGTAAGTGCCGTAACGCAGGTAAGTGGGGTTAAGTTGACCAGCAGCGTTACGAGGAACATTGATGTCAGGGCCTACTGCCCACGGGTGATTGCCGGCGTGCTCCACACCTTACCAGGCAGGGGCGTTTCCGGCGAGTGCGTCGGCCATACGGTTAGCTTCGAACTCATCCCACATTTCGCATTGTAAGTCGTATGTTGCTTGTTTGTTTTCGAGGGCTTTCTCGCCAACTTCCGGGGGAGGATTGCCACGATTGGCGAAAAAGTGGAGTTCAAGGCCATTGAGTTAACCTTCAATGTCCTCCGATTTGGTGGAGCCGGTGTAGACTTCTGGAAGTGGGACTTTTAAGGCGGAGGAGCCGGACATGTCGACGATAGGGGCTTGATAATAGCTTTCGCTGGAGTCGGGAATGTGGCAGTAGGTCGGTTCTTGGTTATTGGCGAGGTCAATAGATTCGACGGAAGCGGCAGGCGATACGCTGTGGTCGCGAGACGAGCGGAATGACCTAAGACTAACGGAGCAAGGCAGCGAACGAGACGGCGAACGGGACGGCAGGCGGGACGTATGTGGGAGTACGATCGGCAAAAGATGGAGTATTCTGAGTTCAGGGTTGTGACCTAGCTAAGCTACGGCCAGCAAACGGATTGCGGTCGGCCAGTGTGACAGTAAACGGTAGTGAACCTCTAAAAAAGTGGAAAGGCCAATGTTGCGTGAGCGAAGGCCAAACACTAAGTCAGGAACAATTTGAAACTAGGTGAGAACTAACAAAAGAGCCTAAAACTAGAAGTGGACTTCTGCACATTCATTCGGATAACAAGACAAGGGGGAGTCTTGTTAGCGATCGGGTTATAGTACAAAGTCCAAATGTCTCTATCCTAAGTCCAATGTTGCACATTGGACGCGGTGAATTAATCACAATCATGCGACAATATTTGACCAGGATCAGAGAAAAAAATTGCAAGCCAGTGGCGCAGCTCCGGCTAAACCATCTCCATCTAGGCACGTGAAACGCGTCGTTGCACCATCTACAATTTGACAGATCTCCTTGCTCCAGATATGTTCAAAAGGAGGGCGCCTGCACTTTCCCCTACGATCATTCTCTGCCAATGGATAATTTCCCTTATTAAACTCGTCCACATATCGTTGCACGGTGATGAGATGAACCCCGGTGTACTTCGCAATTCGTTGCACCCCTGCCCCCCATCCCCATCTCACATCCGCTTCCGCTTTGCAACGAGAATATATCCGTAGGATCATATCAATTTTGGTTTGAGTCAACGATTGGTGGGTGCGGTCAGGCATTGTGGTAGGGGCAGATTGTGAGAAATCCGTTCGATATTGTGTTATAAGGTGCTACGTTTTGATTCGACACCAATATTTGGTATGTTTATGGGGAAGAGTCGTGCAGGTTAAACACAGCTCATCATCTGTTGGTGGGCGCTTTCGAGTTGGTGTGTAGGAGGGAGGTATTGTTGGAGATTTTTAAATTTAAGCGGGGTGATATATTCTGGTGTGGTGTATGTGTTGAGCCCTTCAGGGAGTGGAAGAGACGAACCGGTATCACGGGGGTGGAATTCAGAAAGGAACGAGCAGGTTCATAGTTTTCTTGTTTATCCATTGATGAAATGCTACGTAAATCAGTGGTACCGGTATGGGTAGGTGCGAGGTGTGTTGCTAGTGTCGGGTTATCAAACGAGCGTAATGGGCGTGAATGCAATGCGTCGGAGGTGTTGGTTGTTCGTAAACAAGAAGTTTCAACGCAGTGGAGCGCTTTGCGTTGAATCTGTGGGGGGTCAGGCTATAACGCCACATCAGCCTCATGAGCCTCTGTGATGTTCCGTTTCCGGTCTGTACTTGAGATAATGGGTTATCCTGGGCCAGATGGCGTAATGGACTTCTGTACTTGGCTGTTCAACCAACCAATTTCTGACAACCTGTTCTGCAGTTCGCTTCACCTCTTTGTGGTTGCCATTGAGAATATAATTGTCCCAACCGATGAATAGACGGCCGGATGGCGCAATGGACTAGCGTGCTCGACTTCGGATCGAGAGGTTGCGGGTTCGAGTCCCGTTCTGGTCGGTATTTTCGTCGTCATTTTTCTTTTTCTTTTTCGCTTTCATTGATTTTTCGAGCCCATGGCTCCCTGTTGAACCATCAAAGCACAAGGTGAAAGGAGGCGAATGGCGACATTGATCTCTAGGGGCTGTGTACAGCTGACAATCGTCGGAGCGCGGTTGTGCATGGTAGGCGCAGTAGATGTTTCGATCCATTTTGCTTGGCAATGAACTACAGCGTAACTGACAAAAAGGCAACGTATGGAACGCGTCGGTCTGTCATAGACTCGTCATTAACGTCGTTTGATACGGGCTCAGTCAACATACCGGTCGGTATGTGAATCGAGTGCACAACAGCGTCAGCATGAACCTTACGTAATGGCCTAAAGGAACTCAGTCTCTTTCTGCACTACCAAACTTTACCTACCTTCTTTCGGCTTGGTCAAACAAACAAACACACAAACCTCCAAACTTACATCCTTTGATCCCTTCCAATGCACTTCTTCCCCTTGATTTAGATCGCAGTCCGCCGGATTCATGCGTTCGCTGAACGCAATCGATTCGGCCCGGTGGGTCATTGCACATGCCGTTTGCAGGGAGCTTGTTTGATTGCTTTGTATTTCATATTTTCCGAAAAGCAATCATGCAAGATTGGTCAGCGTGTGCTCGAGTCCTTCCCCCACTCCCTGCTAAGGCATGAGAGTGTTGGATCACCAGGTCATCTTTTTTGCATCAAAATCTTGGCAAGCTCTTTGCCTCTTTGCATGATTTCCGTGTCGACGGAAATGAAGGGTATCTTGCTGCAGGATTACCGCGTGAGTTGAGAAAGGTTGATTGAGATGTTTCAATGGAGTGATAGGTCACTATATCGCGCGACCAGCTAACGTTGGCAACCTTCAGGGTATCGCAATCTATTACTGTGCCAAGAGTCCCACCTGAAAAATGCGTGCTATGTTCAAAAAGTCCTTCCGCGGTTATGGCGGGAATAAGACTGTTCTGGCCATTGCCGGAGCCGTCACGTTCCTTTGTATGATGTATAGCCATTCGCTTCGGCCAGAGAGCAGCTCCGATCGCCGACAGGTGAGTACGAAGTCAACGCTACGCACATCCAGTCAACAATCACAATTGGTGTTAGATGGACGCGGGAAGCGTCATTTTGCTCGGATTGATCTTTCTAATCAGAATTTCTTGGCGCAGGCCGTTAAAGATATGATCCGTGAGGTCGGCGCCAAACACAGGGAAGAGGCTTTCCGAGGGATTTTCAACAGTAACAGCTGGCAATCTGACGAATCCCGCTCTGGACCGGGAAGCGAGATGAACTACACGGTGAATGCTAGGAGATTCATAGCAGAGGTTATTGAGACACTGAATATCAAGACATTCATGGACGTGCCGTGTGGAGGTCTGAAAGCCGACATTGAATGCCGTATAGTTGAGCGCAAACTAAGTACACACCACAGATTTCAACTGGCAACATCATATCGAGAGCTTCAACAAAATCAAATATATTGGGGCTGATATCGTCCCTGATATAGTCGCAGCAAATCAAGTCAAATACCGGGATCTCCCCAATGTTTCGTTCAGACGGCATGATCTGGTCATGGACAAATTCACTTACGGAGAAGCGGACATCATCATGACGAGAGATGCTATCCAGCATAATCTTGTGCAGGTGCTTATTTTCTCCTGATTTCGTACATTGATATTTCCTGTTTCGCTCCTAACCGCTACTCCGATGCGCATCAGGATGGACTAACGATCATAGCCAATATTGAGGACTCTGGAGCAAAGTACTTGATCAGCAACTTCCATCTGGCTCTCGGCCGACCAATCGATATGAACATTAATTTTAAATGGGACATGCAGCCTGGAGGATGGTATGTGCCAACCGCCATGTTTCCGAGATCCTCCGTGGTATCTTACTGAACTCATTAGGTACTTGGTTGACCTGATGAGACCACCATTCAATTTCTCCAAGCCACTAGCTTTCATTCGCGAGGGGGTCCTGGGAAAGGACAGGGAAGGCAAAACGATGGCGGTATGGAAGTTACCAGCTCTCGGACTTGGGGACGGCATGCCTTTAGTCAACCAGGTTCCCGAAAGGGCGGAGAGGGAAGTTGTATGGCTGTAGAGTGTTGCTGGATAATGGCTAATATGAGCTCTGAATCTAATCATTGGTCATTCATTCCTGACGCCCGGGTTATATGTGTTTGGAAAGTAGGCACATTCTCCCTTCCGAGCAAACATGACGACTAGTAAGAATCGAATACATTAGAAGTCAGCAGCCCACGACCCAAAACCTTCCTTCGGTTCCCATCGTTCAATTTCAAACATCTGATCCGTTGGATGCTATAGATTGTGGGTACCAGCAAGTAGGCAGCCTATATTTCTTCAAACTATCATAAGGTGCTCAAAGGTCGTTCCATTTCGATAATTGGATGTCAAGTAGAGCATCTAAAATGAAAGAGATGACACTATGATCACATTATGTCCAGCATCAGTTCATGAAACCTTCAATGCATACTCGACGAACAATCGTGCAACGCCTTTGCAGCTGTTCTGGTAGACCATCCAATCATTACCGGAAAAGTTGTTCCTTCGATATTAGCCAAACTATAGACAACGGATTTAAAAAAAAAACAAACATTATGTACATGAAGTTTCTAAAAACACCACCAACTCCCCATCACTTCGCCATCATGCTCGCATTTCGTGCCACAAAGCCCTTCAACCACGCATTATGTTCCGCCAAAAGTGTTTCGGTACGAGTGTGGCCAACCTCCCAGGCTCTTCTCCTTTCCGGACTGACCATGCGACTCCCTTGAGTGGGGCGGCTAGTGCTCGCCTCCGCTGCTGTTCGGCTGGCTTGGCGCAACAGTGTTGTTGCATGTAGCTGATAAGAAGAAGAAATTGTTGGAAGTAGTTGGGAAGTACCATCCACCGCCCTGGGCGCCGTTCTGGAAAATGCAAGTGATGGACGCTCAGTCAGAGGTCAAATTTTCCATACTGATATGTACCTTTGCTTCTCCGGTCGACTTGTTTGCAACCGCGTCGACCGCAGCACTCCGAGCAGTTTCCCCAACTCCCCCTCAATCTCGTCCAAGGTAGCGTGTTTGCCGTGGGATGGATGCTGTAATTCCAGCTGTGTTCGCAAGTTAGTGAGGGATCCGCTCAGTTCATCATGATGCTCAATTGGTAGCTATGCATACTTCATCCAATGGCATGCCTTCATCCCCTCCCTGTACGTCCAACCGCTGGTTGTGCACAGTTTAGTGTAGGTGCAAGCCCGCTGTGTCTGGAAAGTGTACCGACCTGGGCAATCTTATCAATATCATCTTTCCACTGACTCCGGGCCCGCTCCAACTCCCATTGTCTGTCCTCGATGCTTTGCCGTTGACGTTGTAGAAATCGCTTTGCTTTATATAACTGCCTCTCCTCTCGTTTTATACGATGATGCAACTGATGTGTTGGGCTACCAGATCTAAGTTGGAATCTTCATCAAAAATCAAAGTTGCACAGACGTCAGCGAATCAGACATACAGGTTCTCAGAAGATGATGTGTCGCTCTGGGTTTCGGAAGGCGCAAGCGCAACTCGAGCTCGAAGGTCTGGGTCTGCTCCAATCGAAGCTGTAATGGTATGAGTGCACAATCGCCAGTAAGATGAGCATAAGCAAATTGCACCTTCGGATGTGTCATCGAGATCTAAATCTTTATTGCCCAAGCGCCCAAATTCACTCGTGGCCAAGCTATCCCTCTTTCGACTCCCGCTTCGAGCTGCATCTCCGTGCTTCCGTTTCGACCGACTCCTCTTAGTCAGTTTTGACAGACGATGCTTAAAGTCTTGGTGCACGTTCTCCAACTCCGCCAGCTCCTTCAAGCCTTTATTGGATGGTAACGGAATCCTATCTGTATTGACATCTGGTAATCCCACCCTCATGCCATTGGTCATGCCATTGCTGATGCCAGCGCATTGCCCAACAGAATGACCACCAGCGATGATGTTTGAATCCTGGTCTGGGGCCCCCTGCACCCTCTGCGGATATCCCACAAGCTCCTTCTCCAAAGCCACCAGGGCGCTTCTTTCATCCTCCAGCCGCTGCCGCATGGCCACTAGCTCCCGCTCAGCAGTCGTCAACGACGCCCTCTCCCGGTCCAATCGTGCCCTTCGCGCCAGAACATCTGCCTCTATCTCATCCACCGCCTTGGACTCACGGTGTAATGCCTCGGACTGCGCTTGTGACATTCTACGCTCCTCTTCTTGCAACTGTTGCCGCCGGGAGGTAAGGTCCTTACTAATCTGTTGGAGTTCCTCCTTCTCGCGTATGAGCTGCTCCTTCTGTCGCTTCTGGCGCTCCAAGTGGACTTCATTTTCCCTCTGTAACGCCGCTAAATCTGCTGTTGAAGATGATAGTGCTTTGGCCGCTTCAGCGTCCAAATGGGTCAATTTGGCCCGCAACCCTTCCTCCTTCTGTTTGGCTTCATCTTCAATTGCTTTGATCCGGCGTTCGGTGTCCTCCTTTGCCTGCCCCACAAGACGAGAGCGACGCTCCTCTTCCTCCCGCATCAAGTGAGCTTCCTTTTTGATGTGTTCTGAGCGAATTGTGTCCAGGCGCTTGGCCAAGTCCAATTGGAGCTGCTCAATCTGTTCCTTATGAGATTGTTGCACATCCTTCTTCCGCCTTGCAGCTTCCTCATCCATACTCTTACTGAATGTTGCCCGTTCCTGTTCTTTCCGTCCTGAATACTCTTGTTGCAACTGTTGCCGCAACTCTTTCAGTTCATGTTCCCATCGCTCCCTTTCTTCCATCTCCGTCCGTTGTTTCCGATCCTTATAGTCCTTCTTGATATTATCTATCTCCATCTCGAACTTCCTCCTTTCCTCCTCCTGTGCCCACTTCAAATCAGCCGCAAAGTTCGCTTTTATTCTTTCTATCTCTTTATCCACCTGGTCGGCTTCCTCCTGACTAACATTCTGGGTGCGGGCAAGCTCTGTTGCTTTTGCAGCCATGATGTTGTTCTCCTCT